AATAACCAGAGATCAAATAGATCAAGTAATTTGTTTTTCTCCAAGATCACAAAGCTAGTAATTGCCTGACTTGAAATTCAAGCCAACCTAATATATAAAGAGTGTCTGAAAATCAATAAGAAAGAAAGGTCAACTGTCCTTGAAGGGAAAAAAATGGGTAAATGGTATGAAAAAATATTATTTCACAGAGCAAATATATAAATAGCTCTCAAACACAGAAAATGAGCTCAATCTCACCCAGAATAAGAGAGATGTACATTAAGCCACAATGAATTCCATTTATTCCCCATCAGGTTGGAACAACTCCAGAAGCTTTACAACATTACAAGATGATGAAAAACAAGCACTCTCATATATTGCTAGTGGTAATAAAATTGGAATAATTAATATGTGAACAATCCTATAGGGAGAACAATCTGGCATTACCTGTCAAAAACACAAGCTCATATGCTTTGAGCAAGCAACTACCTCCCAGAATTTATCCATGGATATACTTTATGGCAGCAGTAATAATATTTATATGTAGCCAGGTACTTTTCTAAGTTATTTAGAGTAACTCGTTTGTCCATCACAACACTGCTTTTAGACAGGGATTTTTAAATTCCCATTTCACAGATGAGAAAATTGAAGCACAGAGAGGTGTTAGTGACATGCCCAAAGTCAAACAGTGAGGAGCCGGAAAATGATTAATGAACAAAATCATCGGTTATAGAAGCTGGTCCGTTACAAGCATGAGAGGCTGGTAAGAAATGATGGCTCTCTCCTGACATGGATTATGGACGGTTGAGAGTATTTAAGAGTAAGCACCCTGGGACCAGGGTGCCCAGGGTCAGCTCCCTGACCCTGCTCTGTCGGGTTGGACGCCCTGGGACAAGTCACGTAACTTCCCTGTGTCTCAATTTCCCCATATGTAAAAAGAGGATAATGCTCAGTCTACTTCATAGGTTGTTATAGAGGTTAAACAAGTGGATGTATAGAAAATGTTTAGACTAAGTGTCAGAAAACTGTTTCTGCAAAGGACAGAGGACAGTCTCTGTGTCAGCTCTTCAGCCTTTGGAAGTCACTGGAAAGCAGCCAAAAGCAATCCATAAATGAGGGGGTATGACCGTGTGTCAATAAAACTTTATAAAAACACTTTGTGGTCTAGGCTGGACTCTGAGGTTTGGAATTTGCCAGCCCCTGGTTTAAACTGATGCTGGCTCCTGGTTAGCACAATAGAAGTAGTTTGTTTAATAAGTGGAATGTCACATCACCATTACTTTAAAAAAAAATGAGCACAATCTCATTTTGGAAAGATTCCTGAGATAATTATTAAAGTGAAGAAAGCAGAATATAAAATACAAGGTGCCACCTTCCGTCTTAGGGGATGAGTGTAGCAAATAAGAACTTAAATTCCTATTTGCTTATGATTGCTTAAAGAAATTCTGGAAGGATGTACAGTCAAGATTTTATCAAAAGGAATCACTTCAGAGAGAAGGTAGAAGCTGGGCTTCCGGGAGACAGAACTGGAAGTTCAATATTTTCTGTGCACCTTGTTGTGTGTTTTAATACCTGAACCATACAAATATCTTATTTAACCAAAAGGTTAAGCTATTTTAAAGAGTTCCCGCTCTGCCAGTAGCAGCTGTGCTGGTCGGGGCGTGTGATTCCCTGCCGCACTGAGCGCTGAGCAGCTCTGCTGGCCTCTGTCCTGTGTCCCCCAGGGACGCTCAGAAATGTCTCCAAACATTGACAGATGTCCTTGGGGGGGGGCGGGTGAAATCACCCCTGTTGAGATCTCCTCTAAATCAAGCTCCAACCTGCTGTGTTACGGAGCCCAAGGTCCACTACCCTCATCCTTCCTTAAAAAAAATTTCCTACGGGACCCTCCCCGGTGACACAAAGGGTTGGGACAGACACAGCACTGCAAGCTAGCCATAGCCGCCTCAGTGTGAGTTCGATGCCCAGCCCCGGAGGTGACCCTCATGGCTCGGCAGACCTCTCCTGACCCGCCCGCTGCTCCCCTCAGCAGTGTACTTTGTCGATCTGCCTGTTCTGCTCCCCACTCTGTCTCTGGTGAATCCTCTCACCACCCCTACACCTCTGGCTTGTACCCCAGCTCTCCATGCATAAATAAATAAATCTTTTTTTAAAATCCCTATAAAGAGACATTTTGATGAGTTTATCAGGTGTCTGCCATCATAGCACGCAGTGATGAAATACCTGACAGCCCTCTCAAAAACGGTGTGGTTTTTATCCAGATTCACACATGGGGAAACTGAGGCTCAGGAAGCCAGGAAATGGCAGTAATGGGATTTGAACCTACATCCATCGCCTCCAAAGGCCACTCCCACGTCTGCTGCCCTGTCCCTTCCCTGCTGCAACCAGCCCCCCAAGTGGCCAGGGGCCAGCAACCTTGGCATCCCTGTGGCCCAGCACCCTCCCTAGCCCAGCAGCTCTCATGTCCTGTCACTCCCTTCCTCTCCTCTCCCTTGGCCTTAGAGCTTCATCTCTGCAGCCTAGAATTTGGACTCCCAGGACAGCAGCAGAGGCCAGCTGGGGTGACACCTTTCCTAAAATAATAGTGTCCTCTCTCTGGGCCTCAGATCTCAGGTGACCCATCCAGCTCGGAGGTCCACTGCGGTCTGACCTCAGCAGCCCGGCAACGTGCCACCACGTGGTACCCTAGTGGGCCCTGACCATGCCCAGCTCAGGGCCTTTGCACGGCAGTTCCCTGCACCCGAACAGCTCTCCCCAGATTGACATGGCTCATCCCTCACTGTCTCCAGGTCTCTCCACAAATGTCACCTTGTCGGTGATGCCTCCCAGGCCCCTATTCAAAACTGCAACCACCGTACTCTGGAATCTCCTGACCTGCTCTGTTTCTTCTGAGCACATATCACCTCCTGCAATTTGGGCATTTCCCTCTGTGCTCGCTGTTGGCCTCCTCACTAGACGAAAGGCTTCTTCCCTGTGTGACTTATTCTGACGTCTCAGTACCAAGAGCATGATCTGCATAAATTGTGGCTGTGTAGATGGGTGAGTGGGTGGCTGGCTGGGTGGGTGGGTAGATGAATGGATGTGTGGATGGGAGGAAGGAAGAAGGAGGGAGGGAGGGAGGTGTTTAGATAAGTGGATGGGTGGGTGAGTGGGCAGGAGAGAGGGAGGGAGAGGGAAGAAGCGTTAATATGCTCTTCCCAGAACAACTGAGCAAAAAACAGAGGAACCGTGAACAAAGGAGAAAGACTGTTTATGCCGCTCCCACTTCCCCTCCACACCCCATGGGCCATTCATGGCTCTGGCTTAAATGTGTTGACAGTCCAGGGCAAGCAAATCTAGAGAGGCTGTTCTGACCCCTCCTCTGGCTGAACGTGGCCACCTATCATCGCATCCCCGCTGCTAACTGGACAGGGGACTGGGCTGTCCAGGGAGGGAAAACGGTGGCACAGGAAATACAGTACTCTTGGACGGGCAGGATCAGGAATAGCCCTACTGAGCCTGGGGCCTGACACCGCCCAGTGCAAGAAGCCAGAAGAGGGAGAAACTCCTACCGGCATGGACTGGAGGGCATCTGGTTCTGTCCCCTCAGGTCTGTCTCCCTTGAGGGGCAGGACCAGGCTGGGACCTCAGTGCTGCCGGGAGAATCAACTCCCCTCTTAGAGACCCATGGCCCACCCTCCCCCTGCACCAGACAGCCAACGTTAGACAAGACAGTGCAGGCGGAGGTGGAAGTTGGTCCTCACGGGTAACCGCTTCCCATTGGCTGTTACTGAAACCTCACTGGGAACGGTGACAGCAAGTCTGGTGTCTGACACCAGACTTCCTCCTGCTCTGGAGGCCAGAAGGAGGCAAGCAAATGCAGGCCAATTGGGATGGCTGTGGCCGGGGAGGGGGGGGCTGGGGGGTGGGGCTTCCCCAGCTCCCTCCCCCTGGGCTCCCTCTTCTCTGTGGGCTAAGGAGGCTGGGCTGTTGCCTCTCCTTCTCATGCCCCATCCCCAGGAAGCGCCCCCAGGGACCCTCAGCCCCTGAGCTTCCTCTCCCCCATTTGCACGTGGCTCCTGGGACCAAAAAGGAGACAGTGGTTCAGCGGTGCCCCCATCCCTGGGGATCCCCCCCCCCCAAGCAAGACAAGGCTTCATCCCAGAGTGGAGCCTAAGGCCTGATGGCAGGTGTCTTCAGACCCCAGGGCAAGCAGGACATAGCCAGGCCCCTCACCCCCCACCCCCGTCAGAAGCATATGCCACTTCCACCCAGCACCCAGAAGGTCAGAGAGCCAGAGAAGGTGCTAGAGAGAGAGGATCCAGCCAAGTCACCTCCCCCACCCCAACCACATTCAAATAGGGATTTGAATATATTTCCCGAGCCTGCGCCCTGTGTCACAGTCAAATCCACCTCCCCTTGGGCCGCCAAGGCTGAGAAAGGGCAGCGTTTCTGGGCTCCTCAAGCACAAGACCCGCTCTCAGGGCTCTGCCCCAGCATCGTCCCCGGGACCCATGGAGCAGGAAGACCAGAGGCTGGAGCCACAGGCCCCTCTGGTGCTACCCTGCCCCAGACCCAAGCAGGAAGCCAAGGGGAAGATGTGAGGGGAAGGAAGGGGCCCAGGGCCCAGGAGGACACACATGCAGGGGAAGAAGTTGGTGAAGGCCCCTCCCCCATAGCCGGGATCTGGGAGAGGCGCACAGAGTCAACACCTCAGGCACCCCAGGCACCCTGGGCTCTCCCTCCAGATCTCCTGGGGTCCCATCTGGGAGCTCTAACCCCAGTGGCGTCAGCCTGGGGCTTGAAGCATTAACCCCAAGTTTGCCAGTTCTCAGCTTAGAAGTGGGTAAGCCCAGTCTATGAGTGCATTCAGGGTGCCAGTTAGCCTTGGGGGAGCCACCCCAGAACCCCAGAGCGCTGCCACTGCTCCATGCCCACCAACCCAAGTCAGCCCTGCCGCTGGGAACACCGACCTCTCCACCCAGTCAGAGGCTGCGGTGCCCCCACCTCCAGCAGCCACATGCCAGCGGGCGGCGGCTCACCTGAGACATCTGGGGGCGCAGGTTGACCTCACGCAGGTTGATGGCATGGGGTAGCAGGTTGTTGAGCAGCTGGCACAGAAGGACGCCATCCCGCAGGGCCTGTGCCAGCTCGCACACCTGCGCCCCGTCCCAGGTCACCCGGTGGCTGGGCGGCAGCACCCGGCACTGGATCAGCCAGTGGGTGCACTGGCGCCACATCTCCATGGCTGCCGCCTCCCAGCCAGCCCTGCACCCTGGTGCCTCCACCACCTCTCTGGGGGACTAGATTGCTACCACTTCCTCTTTGCCTGTAACTGTTGGCCCAGAAGGGAGGAGGAGGAGCTCTGGAGAGAGGGGGAGGCCACAGAGAGGGCCAGCCCCTCCCACGCCAGACCTGCCTTCACCCCCAACTCGCACAGGCTGAGGGGCTGCTGGCGGTCCCGCCCCGTGGCTGAGGCCTGTCACCCCTCCATGCCCCAGCCCTGAGGGGGCCTGATCCGAAACATGAGACTCCT